AATAGGAGGTGGCTCTACAATTCTCGTCCCTGGTGGAGGAGCTACCTCACCTAACCCAGTTGGCCCCATTCTGCTTCCTCCTACTGACAGCCCGGAAGTCAAGCCTGGTAAGCGTGATGTAAGAAAAGTCCCTCTCTATGCTTGATCATGCCCACTTTGAGGTGCCCCTGATGTCAGTCTGAATCTTCCTAACTTCCTACACAGCTTGGCGGGCCTTTTCTCGAGCGCAAATTGTCTTCGTCAGGTACGTACTACGACCACGGCCGTTTTCGGTGCCTAAGTTGATAACATGAGAATGACCTAGACACTCCTATGAGACTATCGCAAGCTTTGGCTGAGCGCGCGGAAGATCTCAATACCCTCAAAGAAACATACTTCACTCTCTTGGAGCCCATTGTTCATGGGACCAAACCCTCTTTCGAAACTTATATCGTCCTCCTACACATGGCCGACATCCTCGCGAGCAAGGGAGTGGAAGTAGACACCATCACCCTCGGCGAAGCAACGACCATATTCAGCCCAACCACGAATACGAAGCGTCAAATTTTCGAGATTGGCTCTTGCAAGCCATCTGATCTAATTAGTCTCCGCGCAACTCTCGCGAGTCTCCTTCTCATCTACAGCAACACCCCGCCCTTTGAGATTTGGAACCTGGACCAAGCAATCATCGCGGCGCTCAAAGCCTGCAACGAGGATGTCATTGTCGGTCCCATCATCCCAGACAAACCCATCCCCGGTGAACCCCTCGTTCCGGACAAGCCGGTCCCAGGCAGGCCCGTGGTGACCCAGTCGCCGGTGCCTGGGGGTCCGATCAAGCCAAGTGATTAGGCGACCGCCTCGTCAAGGGCATGATGCCAGAGTTTTGAACAGACGAGATGGAAGAAGATAAGGTTGTGTGACCGCGCACGGTGGACGTCAAGAACCTGTGCCTGACAATCCGGATCCGAGAAAAGAGGATGTCCGTAGGGAATCAAGGAAACAATTCGAAGGTTTGATGAGGAGGCTTATTCGCAGATGTTACTGCGTGCTTATTCATGGTGCAAGTAATCAGGTTTACCGTGTTATTTCTTTCATGAACACATCTTCTTCGCTTTTTCCAAGAAATGCTTGATTGACTTAAGCTCATGGTTCTGAAATCGTAATAATAATGGTTTCATGTTTGCTGAAAGATGGTATCAATGCGGCCAGCCCTACGTAAATCGAGCATCCGACATCGCAACTCCCTTTTTGGTCTCTTCTGACACTTCCGACGTCCGCGACGATAGATCGAAAGATGGAATGGTATGTAAATAACGATAACACAAACCCTTTTGGTCCATCTGGTCTGCTTCGTCCAGACCTTGAGTTCATCCTCATCTCAAAACAAATAAGAAATCAATGAGACGGGTAAGAGATTCATCCCATGGCCGCCGGAAGGAGTCGCAAACGAGTATCAGCTATGGCTCCCGTGCGTCGCAGAAACACCGAAGCTCCCGACAAACCTCACGAACAAGCCCTGCCTACCTCGAAGACAAATATGTCATTGTAAGAGACAGACCACGACGGGATGTTTCGAACCAGCCTGACCTCCCAGAATCCATTCTCGCAACTCAAAGGCATCTATCCTTGACCTCGCCGGGTCCTGCTACCGGACCCTGTTCTAGAAGAAGTGCATGATAACTCAAAAAGGACCCCCAGCAACCTGTCAATGTCTCAACACTGCGGAAGCTATCTCAAGTGTGGGAAGAGAAAACTCAACCTTATTCCACGGAGTCCCCATCTTCTGTCTTTCTCTCTCCCGAGATTCTCCTATTTCGGCCTTGTGGGCCGAAGTCTCCCAAAAGCTCATCACGAGGACAGCCAGCCCTGTCCATTGTCCGAGGTCGCTCCTGGACGATGACCTCAAAGTCAAAAGAAGATTCAACAGAGAACGGGAGTCCCTATCCTCGACGGTCACGTTTCACACGAAACTTCCAACCGAACGCCGGCCATCGTGCCGAACGAGCACGGAGCAAGGCCGTAGACCGCGAGCCTTTTGACGTCGGTATGGAGAGCCCCAGTTCCCACTAAAAAGCTTACCCGACTCCGACCGGCCGTAAAAACCTGGATGGCGGTGGAGTTGACGGACGCGGGAGGAGGTTAAGGTCAGCCACCACCACCGCCATAGCAATTTTTCCTTCTCGGATTTCCGAAAACGATGTTTCTCATCTGCCATCTTCCCTACCTACACCCAAACCAGAAAGCCAAACTTTCAGAGTGCGCTTGCTACCACGCTGACAAAGACGCCCGCAGGCTGAGGTTCCATCGTCCATGGTGTAACCTTTTTTCCGACCGCTGCAAACGGATGAAGCGGGTGAAGCGGAATACTATGCCACGAGGTCTGTTGCGACGCTTCGCAACGCCGTCTCTGGCTGCGCCGCGATCAGGAACCTAGATAGATCTCACGAACCGGCGCCGGGCGAACGAGTCAGTTTCTCACCAAACGAAACGATACCATCGCCGAACCATCGCGGCTCCATCGCGATCGTTTCCTCTCCCTGCAGAATCTCGGGGCCCATAACATGTTCTCAACTTCTCTCACCTTACCTAGACGCCGCTAGTTTTAACATCACGCGTTTATCACGCCGCGAGAAAGCCAGGACGTAACGGATGCGACCGCTCATCAAGGGATCGTGGCCAAAGGGGCAACAGCAACATTAACATACGACCAACATGTCTTTCATAACAAAAGTGTAAACTTTCCCGTTGCTTGCGCTCAAGACCATGCCAAGCCAAACACCATCATCCTCCTAAATCTACAAACACGCGACTTCGGCGCCTTCCGCGACGAACGCGTGCTTGCAAGAAAGCAAAAGCATCTGCCACCATCTACAACTCAATCCATCTCATAATTCCATCTCACCATCATTAACTTCGAGCAATGAGAGGACAGAGTTTGGATACCCTCACTCCGTGACACACTAACCGTCGGATATGACCACGCCGTGACGGCGTGGTCCTAGCGAAGCGCAAGAAGCGCACCATGACGAGACGAGTCATGGTGGCCCAAACTCTTCTCCTCGACGCGCGCACGGGGAAAAGGACCCTGCCATTCAATACATTTTGTGCCAGAGTTCACGTCGAACGTGATGGTTCCTGAAAGTCAATCACGGCCCTTGATGGCAGATGACGACCTGCCGTGAACACGATTGACCACAATAGGTCGCCGTGCACTTGCAGGATCCCGCGGTTTACCAACGGTATGGTTCTCGGCCATAATAGTGGAAATACTGCTGCTTGATGACTCAAATGAGGCTCTCAGACTCGTGGCCTCTGCGGCGTCTGGCGTCATGGTATGGAGATTTGTGTGAATATCTGCGGTCCGTGCCAACGCCGCCTCTCCTTAACAGCCCTTACGACATATTGGCAGGGCATAGGGGTCCTCTTCTCAAGCCACATCCAAGCGGATGGGAGCGAACATCGTCATCCTCTCCATAGTTCATGAGACCGGCCACGTACATCAAGGTCTATCCAAGTCCATCCCAAGCTTTGCCCTTCCTCTTGCGTAAAGAGGGGAGGAAAGTCTCCCAGAAGTGTGAAAGTGCACTGCCCACCCCGCGGCTCCAGACACTTACTCCAGCCAACTGTCGCATCATTTTAAGATGGTGTGCCAGAAACGATTTGTCCGCCTCACAGAAACACCAGACGGCACTTACAAAGCAAACTCGGGGTCGATCTTAAGCAACCACGCTGCCTACTATAGTCCCACAGTGGCCTTCTCTAACAGCTTCAACAGCTCATACGAGAGCCAATATGCTACCACCCATCGTGCTATACCACCTTTCGCAGGCATCGAGATACCTTCCAGGCTCCTGCAGATGTTGTTTTCTCCGTGCATCGCCCCGTGCTCCCTCCCATGATGATGGCTCCCCGTCCCCGAACCCATCTTGATGACGCCCGATGCCAAAGCACCTTCATTTCTTGGCGCCGCAGCCAGTGACACACACACGGAACCAAAGCTAGCGTCCCATCCCCCCGCCCATAGCAAGTGATTCTCTGTCTCGTGTGTCTATGAAGGCAGGCCTAGACCTCTGTGGCCTTCACACCTTTTGGCGACTGGTGTGTAGAACAGTACGGTAAGTTCCCGTGTGACCGCAAACGGCTTTGCCTGAGCCACATCATCAACACCATCCCTCATCTCTTCCCAGCCATTTGGGTGTGGCTCCGCCCTCTCCGGCCGCACGGAGTGGGTACCGCGGAGTGGGGAAGAAGCTCCTCCAACGCCGTCTCTCGACGTGGGGGGGCCGCTCGCAACAAAAGCCGCCCGCCAGCCGGCGCGGAAGCGCTTAGATCATTCGACGCCCGCTAGAGAAACCGACTGCTCCCGGTCCCTTTTCCCAAGACGCCCAAGGTGCCAGAGAGGGCGTCCAGTCGTCGTGCCCCCCACCCCAAGAAGCCAACAGACAACCGTGCCAACCAGCCTAGTCTAGTGCGATGAGCAAGGCTTGGTAAAGACTAAGAGAGGAAGAGGCGGCACCGTGCGCCGTCCTTCGCTTAGTTGGTGTCGAGCCACTTGGACTTGGAAACACAGAGAAAGAGGGGACCCTGTCGGGTTATTTCTTTCGGTGATGGGGCCCTTTCCCGTGATCCACGAATCGTCTTAGCTCGGGGCACGGATACGAGACTATTGACAATGGCAAGCGACGTGGACAGCGGGCGGGCCGGCTTGGGGTGTGTGGCCCTTTCATCATGAGGCTATGCTTGGAAGAGGTTAGATACTCGCCAACACGGGCCTTCTCTTCCAATATGCCGTCTTCAGCGAAATATCGGTAAGGTGGCACTGCTGGGAGGGGCGTTTTGTGGCAGATGATGAACTGCCGTGCTCCCCAATATCAAAAAACTATCAAAACGTGTGTAGCTCTGTGGTTCAAGCCACCGCCCCGTCCACATCCATTGCCTTGAAGCTTTCCGCCCCCAGCCACGCAAGCCACCGCAGTATGATCGTCAAGGCGGCCTTTTCAGCTTCTCATTCCCGGCCGGCTTCAATTTTTGGTCAATGCCATACGATACCTTACCCTCGGGATGCCCATCTCTGTGGCTTTCCATTGGTCAGCCCTGGAGGGGTCGCTGCGGGAATGGCTGACACCGGGCTCGGAAGCGGCTCGGGTTCTTGACCTCATGGCGCTGTTGGAAAACATCAGACGGCGGCTGTCAGAGGGGGCTGTGCATAGACGAGTAGGGTTCAGAAACGCTCGAGGGTTTAGGTAGACGCAGAGAAGGTCTTCAGGTACGGGTATGGTGAGGCAGTCAACGTTCGAACGCTGGAGCTGGTGCTGGATATCCCTTATCGTGTGACGGCAGACGTACGTGTAAGCGTGGGTTGACCCACATGTCTTGGAGCGTCTAGGGAATGAGGCTGGCAGACAGATCACGATATTTTGAGATAACACTCTTCGCTATACGCTCCCAGAGTGAAGCCATCATAGCCCCGTCGGTTCGTTTGCATCTCTGTGGTGCACGTTAATCACTCGGCAATCTTGTGCACCGTTCTGACCTCGCGTGTTCAAGGATCGTAGATCTCGAACCTTGCGGCTAGTGACTGAGACATGGCAGAGACAATGGCACGATATGGCACGATAGGAAGCGCTACTGACGAACGATGGAGCCTATCCACTGATGATTTTCTCGTACCGTAGTTGAGTTTGGCCGACGCCTCCAATAGCTTGCGGTGAGTGTGGCACCTTGAACGTCGCGGGCCCCATTTTCTCCCATCCATCGTCCATAACCTGAACTCTCAAGATCTCGACGTAAGACGGAACGGGCAAAGTGTCTCTCGTTCGCAGACATACTGCTAGTCTCACTTGGAGTCAACCGCGTGCTGATGTCTTTCCGTGGGCCCCTTCTAGTCGCTTTGTGTCTTTCTCTGCCACGCCGAAGATCTTTCCCCGAAACAAGGCCTGTCGTCCAGTTCCTTGGAAAGGCAAAAAGCTAGGTAGTAAGCTCGCAACACCGGATGCAGAAGCCGGAAGGGATGGGCGGGACTAGGTAAACGTCGTTGCCCTCTTGAGCGCCGGTGATGTCTTTGGAGATCGGGGCGGCCATGTGCAATCGGGACTTTCTGTCATCGAAGAGTCCCCCCTCTCCGAGCTAAGACGGCAGAGTCGCTGGTTGGGTGAGCGATCTGAGGCCTTGATTGGACGGCGAGTCAGCGAACTATAGAATCGCGGAACGAAAACGACGCAATGGGCAATGTGGTCAGTGTCGAGATGGGAAAAGTGAGTGAGAGTTGGAAGTCGAGGGGGGCATTGTTCTTCTAGGGCCCTAGAGTGACAATTGATGCACCAAAGATAGTAGCATCCAGACTTGATGCGGTCCACCACACCTTGAGATCTTATCAAGCGTCTTCCATGTTCAGTACTCGCCACTTGGAGACTTGGAGACAGAGGCTCTGTGCCAAGCTGATCGTTTTGTTCGGTAGCGACGGCATAACTCCAAGTTTCTGGTAATTGTTGTGTTCAACCCCTCTCGCTCCCACCCTCTGCCCCTCTATTCCGTCAATAAAGTCCCCGGCCGTGAATCGCCGGCCCCGTCCGTGCGAAGCGACTCTCTACGGCGGGACCCCGGGGCCGTGACGATGGGAACCATCCAGGCATGAGTATTTGCCACCGGCTCTCGCAAGGGCGGCCTTAGCTGTGTCCAATGTGTTTTGAAGATCTCTCGGCGGTAAGGGATGAATAACAACCACGCGGCGATCTACACAGAATCGCGATCGTGACGTTGATGGTGCTGCTTTCTACACCCTAGAGACTAAAGTGTTCCAGTTGAACACGGACTGTTTGGAAGCGCAGCATGTTTAGCCGGACTCAGCAGGTTGCCAATCATAGTTTGATAAGATGGATTCACTGTTAATATCGCACCGTGAGTGTCTCCCGAGACCACAATCTTCGAAATCCTCCAAGTTAGTAGACTTGCGATGTCTCCCTAGCCATCTATCGAACGGTGGGCGTTGCGACAAGGGAACGTGCGCAAACGTGCGAGCTTGGCCCTCCTATGCGGGTCTTTGAGATATCGAGACAGTTGACGTAGTTGATGACTGATAGTTGCTCAACCACGCTTCCACACTTCGTAATCTCGCGCGTCCACCTCAACGCGGGCTCCAAGACATGATGATTCAAAGTGCCTACCTCCTCACCAGCCAAGCTCGTTCTCGCCTAGCCACTCACGAGCTCTCTGATTATAGGCACACTGACACAACAACCCTACCAACCCCTCACCGAGAGACAAGACGACGCCGAGAAGCAACAATTGCCGTGCGCCCTTACTTCCACCATGTCTCTCAGTCTGTCTCCAAAGATTACGCCTAGTATCACGCATTGAACATCGTACCAACGGCGCGCGGCCTTGGCAAACCAGTCCTGCGACTCTTCAGTGTGCCCACCAGTTCGGTTTCTGCGGCCGCAAAAGGGCACTCGCTCAGTCACTGCCCGCTGCCTCGCCGCCGTGCCGTTCTCCGCATCTCGATCTGCAGTTGTCCATCCCATCCCTTGATCATCTACGGCCCCTAGCGGTCACCTTCCAGGCTTTCTAGAGGAACGAGAATATTGAACGCCCCCACCCGTTAGACGCGCCCTTCTTCACACTTCATCCTGTCCATACTGGGGCAGAAAACCGTCAATATCAAACCCATCATGCGCCATGCGCAGAAGCGGTCTAAGGTACTAGGTGTCATCCTAAGACTATGTGCCAAAGTGGAATAGGGCCCTTCAACTCTAGCCCCCCGGCCACGCCGCGGGAACGTTTCCGAACCACTTCAACAACTACCGGCGCAAGCTGGCGGGGGCCTGGAAAAGCGCAGTCCGCCAGCCCAGTGAGCCCACTAGATGCAAGTGCAAGGGGGAGAGGAACAAAAAAGACCGCAAAGACCAGTGAAGACTTGCCCATGATCCATCATGTTACCTAGTGGCTCCGGCTGTTCGTTGTTCGTTTTGTCTCCATCACAACGAAGAGCTCTGGCTTATCGCCACCATGAATTGCGGGGAGGAGGAGGTGACAACGCTCAGCTCAATGCAGGCAAATGTAGAGAACAGATTCCATCCCACCCAATCACGTTTGGGAAATACACCTTTTCTCTGGCATCTATCAAGCCACGCTGTATCCCGATAGATCTGTCGTTTCCCACCTTGTCCAACTCGAGCTGGGGCCTAGACCTTTTTCCCTCACCGCCCCCTTCGTGCCTCCGTCCGCTTGCGGCCTGCGGCTTGCAGCGAAAACCCGGCATATCGGGTTCCGCATTAACTGACTTGTCACTGCTGCAAGAAACGAAAAATAGTTGCAGGGGTTGTTCGCGAGGGCCTCAAAGCAGAGGACGGTATGGCCAACCCGGTCTTGTCAACCAAATGTAGAAGTCTTCAACCAGTTTTTGATTATGCCAAATCCGACAGTATGCATCCATTGCATTGAGACCGCCCGCGAATTGATTCCTCGATATCCAGAGAAAGACAGAATAACCCTCGTCGGTGCCCACAACGACCGCTACGAGGAACCCAAACCAGCAAACAGGAGCAGGGGCCGGATGAGAAAGCGACTCGCCAACCTATGCCCTTTCCAATGATCGACACCGCAGCAGAGCAGAATTATTGCCTTCTCCCAAACGCCCAAACCCTGTCTCCGTTGCTTTTTTATCCCACCCCATTTTCAAAACGCGGCCAAACTCTATCACAAGTCAAACGCAAAGCTTGGCCGGAGCTGTCAAAAAGATAGATTAAGAAAAGGACGATAAGTTGATAACCCACAGCTTCCGCAGTCCCAAAGGCACGAATAGACGGCCAAGACAATGATAGAGTTCTCGATCGTCTACCGGGGAAGAGCCCGTAGAGATAGCGACCAACCCAACCTATGAAAAAGTGTGGATGGGTGGGAACCATAGACACAGCAAGAGAGACTTCGGACTCTTGAGATTGGCTGACAACAAGTCCAGTAAAGTGCCAACTGATGAATGCGAGCTTCTCGCTTGTCAGGTCTAGAGCGTCGCCAACTGCAGTATCAGCAGATCTTTCAGCCAGGAATGCTATCGTTCTCCATCATAGACCGAATATGACAGTGCCACACCGCATCAAGTTCCACATCCATCCAACACCATCAACCCCGGCCGGGTGTTCCATTGTCGCCGTGCGCCGCGGCCGCCGTCTTCGTCTCCGTCATTCCAATAACTCCGGTGGATGGCACCACAAACAGGCTGCGATCATGGGACGGTGGGGCCAGCATTCGCTCACTACAGTAATTGCCCCTTCAAGACTTGTCAGTCGGCATCCAATGTCCATACTGCTCATCACCTCATCATGCGAAAAGGTTTGAGAAATTACCCGCAGAGTTGAGAGCCGCCAGCATCTACCTAATCAGTCAGAACTAACCCGTGTCCACGGCATACTTGAGATCCAGTAAGCTAGTCTATAGAACATGCATCTGCTTGCTGTCAAGGCCTAGCGCAAGCGGGAAGTCAAGTGATTCAAGCCACTCACGGCTCAGCGATCGTGGGTAAGGACTCTCGGGCGAAACTGGCAACTAACCCAACCACACCAAATATGTGCTAAACCAAGCCCACCACCACCGTCCACCAGAGAGTTTTCTGCCAGCTATACTCTTGGCCAACTGATCTACCCCTCTGTCTTTCTCTGTCTGGCTTGTTCAATAAGTGAACTTGGCCCTACCTAGTCTTCCATCGTCATAACCCATAACATTTGGCACATGGCACGCTAACTAATTCCAGTCCTTTCTTTCAAACATCCTTTTTTCATCTATCCCATGATCCCGCTTGGCTATCCCTCTCGCGTGGTTTGATGCGTCTTTTGCCTATACCTATTCAAGCCATTTTCCCTCTTGAGAGCCCCCCACCTCGTCTCGTCCATCCGGTAAGACGCCTCCTTGTGCTCAAGGGCGCGGCGGGAAGCACGGAAGTGTAAGCCAGACGACATGTCATCCCAAGACCCCATACACTTCCAACTGTGAGAGGGAAGCACTTTGGCCCCATCCACCCATCAGGCCACACCGAGACATGCTATATACTCAGTTATAACAGCACATTCGCCTCAGAAAGTGTCCGTGTAAAGTGCTAAACCTCGCAACCCAATAACGACCAATGTTGAAGGAATAAAACAGAAACAAAAAGGCTGCCGGCTCCCACCGAAAAAGCACACTTGCATGTTTAGTAACGAAGCTAGCCACCTATACACACACTTACGGAGTACCTACTCACACATATCTCTCCATATCTGCAACCTCTCACACGCTCCTCCAGACCTCTTCTAGTTGGCTCACGCTTCAGTGCCTCGGCCACCCTCATCGCAAACAGGGTTGCCTACATGCATGCCCACCACGATGGGATTCGCTATCGCGTCTTGCCATGCCATGCTGTGCTGTGCCATGCCGTGCCCATGGCCTCCCATCCATCATTCCATAAATGCAAGCCCGGTGCTTTCTTTGCTCCACCCACACGCTTCCATGCCCAAACCACACAACGCCCGAGGCGTCCCTACCTCACAACCCATCCTCCGCCGTGCCGCATGCGTAATAAGGTGACAACGGCGCAAACACGCCCCATGCAAGTCCACCTCACTGTTTCCCAAGTTTCTCTCCCAGTGTGCCAATCTTCGGGGATTCCCTAACGTTGGGAAAGTTGAACAACACGACCCGGTTGGACGCACTAATGAAAGGCTCCGCAACCTTTCTTCCTGGTGCTACTACCTCTGCATACATTGCGATCCTCCCCCTTTCGAGGCTTCCAACCAACCGTATCCGTACAACTAATGTCACTACATGACATCGCGCGCGTCCCATCCCGAACCCTCCTACCCCCAGTCACCGAGGCACGAGCCCGAATCCGACCAAGGCTCAACCTTCTTCTCAGGGGACTCTCTGCTCTGCTCAGACATCTAACTCCCAGCAAAAGCTGGTGACAATCCATGACCCATGCACCAAAGAAAAATGCCCAGGTTGGCACTGGGCAGTGGGAACCGTCACACTTTCGCTCCAAGGAAGGAAACAATACAACAAAAATATCGGCAGGGCCACCAGGGCGATAATCGGTCTCAACCCAAACCCTCTTCGTACACTCTAAACCCAAAGAGGGCATCAACCTCCGCCCTCAAGGCTCACGGTAGGGCCGACCTGCGGTCCTAAGAACAATTAAGAAAAGAAAGAAAAAAGAAAAACACTACCCATACTACATACATTACGGCAGTGACTTATAGGGACAGGGGTCATGATTGAAGAGAACTAGGGATACGACAAGACTTGGAAGGGGAGGATGGAACGGACCACCTCGACGCAACTCACCCATACCACCCGCACCACCGAAAACAGGGCGAACGACGACCGTTTCCCACATCTTTCCAGAGTGCTCACCGTCCAATCACGTCTGCAGCACCATCGCGGAAACCAGTACAGCGAAGCGTGCGAGGCCAGCCAGCCCCCCCTTTCGAGAATGGGCACCAGCGCCAGAAGTGACCACCACCAGAAACCACCGATCCATTGAAATCATCCCCCTTCGACAGCCCTGCCTTTCTTAGAACGTGCTTACTACTGCGGGCACAGCCAGAAAGAAGAAAAGCTGGAGTGTGTGTGATCTTCATCCCCCCCCCTCTAGTGTTGGTCTGTTGGAACGTGCTCTTTTCTATGGAGCGACGCAGTTGCCGTGCAGTAAGTCAGTTTGCATAGTTGCACAATCCATTCGAAAGCTGCACTTTCTCATGACAGTCCTTTTTTTTTTTTTTTTTTGGCGAGAGAGCAGCACCACCCTTCTCCATATTCCGCCTAGCACGCTTACAGAAGTGCGCACATTGTCTTCCTGCAGAGTAGATAGGCCCATCCCCTAAGGCAACAGGCGTGCAAAAGGCGTGCAAAAAAAAAAAAAAAAATGGAGAAAAGAGGCTTGTCGAAGAAGGACGTCAGTCCTAGAAAAGTGAACATTTCATCAGGGATACCGCCCGCTTGACACAAACTCGCCTTTTTCACAGTAAAGCCGAACAAGACCATGGCTCTCCCCTGCCTGTGAGGAATAGGCTTGGGGGGACACCTCCTCAGAAGGGGAGGGGGTTCGCATTCCCTCTCCTCCACCTCACTGCCTCGCGCGTTTGGGCGGTTTTAAACTGCAGAATACAAGGTAGACCGTAGATTACTCAAGTAGGGAATAACCATCCCTCAGAGTTGTCAGAGACTCGGAGAATGGGAGGGTTTCCCTTAACCCTTTCTCCCCTCGTAAAACCTGAATGGAATTATTCGAGACGTTCTGGAAGAACCGTAACCGAAGGTGGGAAAAAAAAAAGAATGTCACCCTTTTTAGGCCATTACGTAGAAGGTTAGAGAACCACAGACTGCCTCATCCCGCCGCTTCCGACCAACATCACCACCTTCGCCTTAGCTAAGCAACATTTTGGCAAGGTCGGTAGACGGGCTCTTTTCGGATAGAGTAAATCGTTCTCAATAGTAGTGGTAATTCACAGGTACACGTGGAAAGGCTTTGTTTTGGGGTGTTTGAATGTTTGTATTCATTGATAGGCGCCAGTTGTTTTCTGGTCGTTGTCCCTAGCCTGTACTCGTTTCGAGGGCTTTGGTCTCAGTTCGAGTCTCCGTTCAGCGAACATATCCGCTGACGGTTGGGTTCTTGGCCCAGGTATTGTCTAAACCGTCTTTTCCTCAGCTTTGAGGGAACAGAATCCCTCTCTCCCGTAGTGGCCCAAACACATCCCCAAAAAAGAAAAAAAGAAAAAAAAAAGAATCTGGTATCATCCAAACAGTTGCCAGGAAAGTAGCCCTGTGAAAGCTCTTTTCCCCAAGCCGTTTGCGTATCAATGCGTCAGAATAGAATATTCCGCCCCCCAGAAAAATCATGAGAAGAATTCCTGCCTCTTTGTCTTAGTCCCCGTCTGCGCCTGATATGCTTTCCATAGTTTTCGACATCGACACACCATCACTCTTTGCTTTCCAGTTCCCAACTCCGCGCTGAAGACAGAAATAATAAACAATAAAAGGAAAACCCGCTCCGACAAGTTTACAAGCGCCGTTGCGTAATAGAGAAATTCCGGTCCTTTTTTGCACGACTTTTGGAGATTCCATTCCGGGAAGATAAATCCAAAAGGTAATATGGTCCACGTGTCTCGTAACGAATTAAGTATCCTCATGGATGGCCCACGAGGATGAACGTTGATTAGTTGTTGTTTTTTTGAGTTGATGTCGCCATGTCCTCCAGGATACGTAGGATTGGGGGTGGTCCTGGACATGAATTGGCGTAACGGATAATTGTTCCTAGTAGCAGCCTTGAGGGTGCGACAAGATGGGAACTTGGTGGTGGAAGGGGACGTGAGGATGGATAGCAGGGGCCTGCTGAGCATACTTCAACACATCTCCCCACCAGAACTGGACGAAAGACTTGGTTGGACAGCTGGGCGCTTGCAGTTGAGCCTGAAGAGGAGCCGATGTTGGTACAGGCATCTGGACACGGAATGACTCAGGTCCAGCAAGCTGGGATGGTACAGGGCCAGTGTAATGTTGAGGGATGTAGTCCTGTGTGGAGAAGTATGTTGCTCCGGTATCCTCTGGTTCGTATGTTTGGGTATGGCATGCCATAGTCTCCTGCTGTTCCTGAAGGAAGTCCTCATCAAGGTCATCGATGGTCGAGCCACTTGAGGTGAGCGAGCCCTCGTCAGAAGAACAGGTAGATCCTTCGTCCGAGGATGAGGAAGCAGGCGAGAGGGTATTATCGTAGTCGTCGACAATCGTGTCCTCGCTAGTAACGTATTCGGTAGTATGCTCATGCGGAACCTGGGTAGTCGAAAGCACAGCTGTCGGCGTCGCCGGGATGGTAAACATGGAGCAAGCCTGGATTCTTGCCTTCAACTCGGCAAGAGTAATCCTCTGGTCCGGGTTACGGGTGAAGATCCTCCCCAAGATGTCGTTCAGTTCATCCGACACGGGGAGAATGCTCTTCAGAGTTTCCGGGCATCGGGTGTAAGCCCTGTAAGTAGAATCCTCAAAGGATGCTTGCTTCCATGGGTTGCGTCCGCAGGTCAGGTTGACCAAGATGACTCCGAGGCTCCAGACATCATTTGGTGCGCAGAAGTAGAAAGGTCTCCGGGCGGAGTGGTCCAGGCATTCTAAGAAAAGGAAAGAAGCGACATGTTAGTGGTGTTCAGGGGGCTTGATAAAAGTAGGAAAATTCCTAGGAGTGGATGGCCTACCTGGACTCATGTAGAATGTTGAGCCGCATCCGTAGTCCTCTGACCGGTCGGATGAGGTTGCGAGGCCAAAATCGGCAAGCTTGACTGTTGATCCTTGGTCCGAAACGAGAATGTTCTCCGGCTTCAAGTCTCTGTGGTAGATTCCGAGGGAATGGCAGTGCTCCACGGCATCCAATACTTGCAGGAAGACTCTCTTGGCGAGGTCATCGTTCCCGACATACTGACCGCACTCGGTGATGTTGAAGAACAAGTCACCTTCCGGGCAATATTCCAAGATAACATAGATGCAATCCGGGTCATCAACAATCTTGAGCATCGATACCACGTTAGGGTGGGCCGACGCCAGGTAGTGCAGACGAATCTCTCGGTTCTGGAAGGCAACCTGTCGACGATCCAATGGGGTTCCATCTGGGTTGAATTTGCTGAGGCACTTGACGGCGTAACGGACTCCGGTCTTGACATCCACTGCGGAATACACGACGCCATATGCGCCAGTACCAAGAATGGTTTGCAACTGCAACTTGCCCTCAAGAAACCTTCCGAGTCTCGCCTCTGGTGTTAGCGGGACATATCGTGCCTGGCAGTGAGGTGCTGTCGTGATGGGTTGTTGGATCGAACACTTTGTGTTGTCGTACACCGGCGACGCGGGAGGGGTGGGATAGCCAAATCCTGATACATGCTGCATGTTATGTGATTTTTGCGGGTCCAAATGGGAATCCTTTCTCTGGCGGTTTATAATGGGTCTCGAGGGCGAGATCCAAAGTGGAAGAGAAGAAGAAAAAAGTAGAAACGGCCTTTGTCCTTTGGGTTGGTATGTCCTGGGAGTCCAAAGTAATAGTCCTGGGTTATTATCCTACGGCCTGAGATGGGTTGGTAGTCCTATGAATGGATCGGTCTGAGGAAGTAGAAAAGGTCGAAAGTGCAAGACGTCGAGTCAACGAGTCAAACACGGTAATTGTCGCCTAGTGCGGGATGGGTAGCGAGCTGAGGTCGGTGAAGGTCGGTGTCTGTTGTGAGGCGGAGGTGGGAGGGCGACTGAGATTCCAGTTTCCCGAAGATCGTGAAGAGATGTGAAGAGGTCGACGGGAAGGAGCGTGGTGGAAAAGGTGATGATTGAAGTCTCGAGACAAGTCGAGCCAGTTGTACGGTGGTGGGATATGGGTGGTTGATAATGACTGCCACCACCCCGATGAGGAACGAGGCGAAATGATGTTAGCGCTACGGCTACGTACCCATGTCAAAGTGCGTTGCGTGGAGCATCCACCATGGCCGGTGGCTCCAAGGACACCCCAGTCGTCTTCGATATTAGCAGAGCAGGGATGAGCGGCTTGCCATGTCTTAGCCATGGATCCACCAATGCACCGTCTATTCTTGAGTTCGACATGAGCAGCGGGCCAGTGGGTTAGAGTTGATAGAAGAGCCTGAGGCCTGAGAGCCTGGCTTGGAGCTACGCAGTACGTAGAGGGCCGAGGGGGCGTGGAGCCAAAGGGGGCGTGGTCGTGCCCAGGCGTGGACAAGTGACCGGCAGAGCTTCTCTACTGGAGCAGCCACCAGGATGCCACTAGCAGTCGTGATTGGCGTCTCTGCGCAATTTACGAGCAGGTATTGTCTGACGCACCAGGTAAAGTGGCCCCGTCCCAAGGGGGTGTGAGGTGTGAGTGGGTGTGAGCTGTGTCACCCCTCACTTCTCGTGTGTTGATTCTTATCCACCACCCCCAGCCGTGCTCCATATACCCCTGCCACCGCTACTGGCTGAGTGTGTCAGACGAAACGGATGGTCGATGGGTGTCGAAGAAACGGGGCGTGCGTGAGTCGTCGCCTCCTAAGCACTCATGGGACGACCCTGGCGGAGGGAACACAGACTGTCCGTTGCTCTACCCTTCCCTTCCCTTCACTTCCCTTCTCAGCTTTCTCGCTGTCAATCAGAGGCCCGGTGCCTTGTTGGTGACTGACTGCTCCGTGCTCTTGCTGCCACCGCTCGCCCTCCCTAAGCGATACTGAGTGAGCCATCGTCATAGGCCTCCTGTGACCTGTGATGTGCAGCTTCTTCCATTCTTCTCTCTCTCCAGCCTGCCCTTGTCTCGCCTGCCGCAGGGCGAACGTCCCCGTTTTCGTAGGATAATGGAGGAAAGCCTCACGCTTGAACAAAACCCCCTTGGGGGAACGTCGGAACCGGACATGGAATCTCAGTCGAACGATGATCGAATGAGACACGTCTTCCTTCACCGCGACTTGGGAGTATTCGGCCTGGTCTAGCGACGTGGTATGCTATGGCTTGTTGCAGAGCCCCGTACTTTGAGCCACAGCTATCATCAATGCCGCGTGGTTCGAGGTCGAAAAAGACGCTGTTGACACCGGGTAGAGCTGGTAGCAGGGTAATCTGTGACTACCGCCAAACACCGACTGAGAGCGGGCGACTTGGGATGCCCAGTCACAATAGTGCTACCCGCGACCTAATTGGCTCACTGTCATGGTCTCGTAGCTGACGTCGGAGCCTTTGTGGCGCTTGGCAAGCTGTTTGCATAAAGTCCGGGAGTTGATGAGTGTGGGCTTCGGTGGCCGGTCAGCCTTTCTGTTGCAGATGCTGCCTCGCAGGCTGGTGACTGGATCAATGCTAAGCAGATCTGGCTCTGGCTCACAGGATGCCCGTCGCTTCCCATCCATCCTTCGCGGGAGCATTGATTGGCTTCCGGATTTTTCGCAAGCGGTCATCTTCCACCTGGTGGCCACCCCGTGGCTGCACCAACTATGGAGTACGTACACCACACACATTCTCTCTTAGCAACAGTTGTGAAGTGTAGATCACCTGTAGCGCCATGATTGGTCGACAAGGATAGATACGGCCAATCATCTATTGAGAAGCACTTTAGGATGCTTGCGTCAATACCATGACTGCTAGTAAGGCGAGCCAATGAGTAATGTTCTGCACAAGCGACTATCGAAGTAGTTGGTGCCGAGCTAAGTGCTCTATACCTACTGTGTATGGTCGAGTCGATACGAATGGCCGGGTAGACTGCATATTTTGCCAAACAGTAACGACGGGGTTTTCACATTTGCGGGTGCACAGTTATGTGCTGGCTGGCTATGTCTGCTGGTCTGGTTGCTGGCAGTCCGCGGCCGACTCGATTAGGACACCAAGTTCGCTCGATGACGGACGGATCATTGCCATGATATTTTTCTTTTCGAACTGGTTGTGGGCCGTTCTGGCCGGTCAATCCGAGCCCGTCTGAGCTTCTGAGGTCTCATCAGAGCATGACAGTAGACTCGAGACTGAGAGCATGATTAGACGTGTAAGGGCGGGTTCAGGACCGTGGGGTCGGATTTAGCACCATAGGCATCACTCAGACTCGGTACGAATACGCAGTAGGTAAAGGCTGGCGGAGTCGAGGACACGGTAGCCTCTCTGCAAATGATGAGCTGCGGAGTGTGGTGCCTCGAAATTTACGGCCAAATCTTTCCATGTCGGCCTTGGGTTCGCGTGCCCGTGGCCAACTTGGCCGGAGACGAAGCAGCGGCAACTCCAGCATCTACGGAGCAGCAAGCGGAACAGCAGGCCTGGACTCGGTGCGTGTGGAGACTCAGGGCGGGCGAAGGAGGATTCGGTTTGCCTCTGGAATGGGCTTTTGATCCCGGCCAGTGACGGCGGCCAACGTGGTCATGGGTCGCACATGGGCCTGAGATTGCGAACGACCGTTTGAATGGGCGGGCCAGGGTTGAGTTCCATGAAAAGAAAGTGGATAAGCAACCTGAGCGTGCCGGGCGCTGAATGGACAAGCAGATTGATGTTGTGAGGTCTCTCTCTTTTTTTTTTTCTCTTTTTTTTTTTTTCGTTTCTCTGGAATCTGCCGTACACTTGACCCTAGGCACGCCGTGACGCTGCACGCCGCAATCCAGGCTTGATGAACGCCGCAATGCTGCATTGCTTGGATGCGTATGGTGCATAGGTCTTTGCAGTCTGCAGCAATATGCTGCACGTCTGTGTGGCTCGGAGCGGTAAACGGGCAGAACGGGGAGGGACTGGCTGGGGTTGATTCGCTGTCAGGGTTGCTTGAGGTTGAAGCAGTCATGCCTGAGGCCAGGATCGTGTGTCATTCTGGCACAGCGTTGCAGGCGAGCCGCGAAAGAGAGAGCTGGTTGTTGAGAGTGAGGGTGAGACTTGAGAGAGAGTCGAACGTCGACAAGACATGGGTGGTATGGTCGTGATGGTGTGGTGTCAAAAAGTATGTGGTCTGTGTGGTGCGCAGTGGCAGCGTCTCTGGAGTCTTGTCACCTTGTGCCGTTCTAGCGTAGTCCATGGGCCATGTGTGCGTGCCACTGGCCAGTCCGGGCGATTCGGGAATGGAAGAAATGCAGAGGCTGCAGGCGAGCGAGAGCAGCCTCGTAACGACTTGATGGGGTCGCTGTACAGGGGTCCCTGGGCGCAAGCTCCCGACGAGTGAGGCTGTCGACGACGGAGCTATGATGGATCATGATGGATCATGATGGTGAAGGGGCCACGGGGGGCCCATATAATGGTCTGCAGAGGCTGATCTCGCCAGCCCAATAGGCAATTTCGGGCGTCCAGTTGTAGCATAGCGCCCGTGGTTCACGATGTAGTGTAGCATCGTCTGTGTGTGTGTGTGAACTTGTGAAGTCCCAACTCCCCCGCCAGTGTGGCCATCGGCAAGTTTGCAAGCACAGCTGAGCAGAGCAACCAGCGCGCGCCTCCCGGGCTCTGGGTTTTGGTCCAGGCAGAGTCTCAGTCTTGATTCCACGGGCGTCTGTCTCTTCGGTCGAACTACTCGTGCCGCCTAGCGGTAGATGGACGGTGAGACGGGATTCCACTCAGGAAGTTGGTAAAGCAGAGACTCATCATTCATGATGCGCTCCTTCATAGTGGTGTGGCAGGCTATGATGCCACTGCTAAGATAAAGGCCGGTCGATTGGTAGCGAGCTTGATGTGATAATGTCAGACTGGGATTCGATGGAGCCTGCGATGACAGTCCAGGAGGAACATAGTGTATCCGTAGGCCAGTCCCTAGTATCGTGAAAGTGGTTCTCTCGTCGATCACGATGGTTTGCTTGTCTATGCGACACTGTAACCGTAAGCAGACCGAAATATCCGAAGACAGCGGAGTGTAAGAGTAACAGAAACTCTCCGAGCACGGCTACGACGTCCGACCGCAAGCCACTAATTGTGATGGAGAGAATTGCAGCATACCGTACTACCGAGAAGCAAGACGATGTGCAGTCCTGCAAGGGGTGAGATTGAGGAAGATGACGATGGAGACAGGTAGCTACTCTTCTTGGTGTTCGTTGGAGTTTCTTCCTTCCTTCCTTCCTTCCTTACCACCCCGCCCCATCGATTCTCTAACCAATCATGTGCTACTTTAGACTATCCCAATAGCCTTCTTGACCAATCAGAAAACAAGGCGCCCTCTCCGGTCTGAAGTCACACTTGCTGGAAGGATTCAAGGAACGGGAAGGGGCAGAGAAACATGGTAACGACCGGTGGCTATCTGGTGGCTGGTGCTGGTGGCGGGTCTTGAATAGAGTACGTATTAGATCACGTGACAGATCCACCTCAGCCAGCCCGTGACTGCCTCACTTTCCTGCTCCCTGCCACTCCTGCCGCGGTCCCACCGGATGCTTCCTTCCCCCTTCCCATGCATAGTGTACCAATGACCAGTAGCTGCCTGAATATGGCTCATGCTGCCTCAGGCCATCAATCTGAGAAAAGAAACAAGCGGTCTGCAGGAGCTGCATCGATCACGGAAAACGCTTACCGCAGCCGGGCTAGCGCATCTGTCAGATCTCATCGTCCAACTCGTTCCCTCTCTCCATAACTCTTGGTCCGCCCGTCCAACTTCAAGGCGTGCAGCTCGGTCCTTGGCCCTTGTCCGTCGTCGGTCCCTGCCTGGGAATATCATCCCGACTATTCGAATCTCTGCGACGCTATCCTTCGGATACCCCACGCTCTTTCGCTCTCTGCATTACACGTATTACCGACATGGCGACGGCCCCGGTATAACACCACGTTAATAATACGCCGTGCTAAGAGCAGCGGTTCGCTTCTGCGACATTCCCAAACCTTGTTTGTCTCTCGCCCTTCTCATTCCCAGTCAGGGCCAACTTGGCCAACCCGGTTCCAGGCGCCAAGTGTGTCCGCTACTGCAAACGAGAAACAGCCGGGCCAAGCATCGTGGTCAGCATCGCCATCATCAGATGGGCAAGAGCCCAGGAGCCAGTAACAGCAACCGTGCCTAAGGAGCAATAGACAACAGCTAGCAGGCTGAGATGGTGGCGGAGGGAGAGACAAATACCTATAAGTGTTCAAACACTGTGACTACCTATCGCCTATAGCGGA